CACGCAGCCGTGGGGCCCTTGCCACGTTGCTTGGCGTGTGCCACCACCTGAGATACATCTCCCCACACCTCATCACACAGGTGATCAGCGGAGGACACTATGATGTGGACTGCTATGTGGAGGACCCCAACGGCAAAACCATCTACCAGGAGACCAAGAAGCAGTACGACAGCTTCTCGCACCACACCGAGCTCAAGGGTGTCTACACCTTCTGCTTCAGCAACGAGTTCTCCACCTTCTCCCACAAAATTGTCTACTTCGACTTCCAGGTGGGCGATGAGCCGCCCATCCTGCCCGACATGAACAACCGCGTCACTGCCCTGACACAGGTGGGTCCCGGCAGGAAAGGAGGGAGGGGGGGTCCTGCCACAGCCCCAAGCAGCCTTGCAGGACGGCAGTTGGGGACTTGTTCCCCTCCTCCTCCGCTGGATGCAGAAGTGCCAACCGCCAGCCAACAGCCCCACCGCACACCACATCCTCTGCCTGGGTCTGGGGGGCTGTGCTGGGTCTGCGCTCCCCTATTGCAGCAGCCCGTGTCCATCCCACATGAGGGAATTACATCAGCCATTCCATCCCTTGGTGGGAGCCTTTGGGCTGGGCACTGCATGCCCCGCTGGGCCCCTCAGTTCTGTCCCACTGGAGAACCACCCTGGATGGGTCCTGGCAGGGAACCTACAGCACAGACTGCCGTCCTGCTCTTGAGTGTGCTGGCACGGCCCTGGGCTGCCTCAGCTGTGCCATGTCAGAAGCAATAGGGCACCCTTGTCCTTGTCCCCCAGATGGAATCTGCCTGTGTCACCATCCATGAGATGCTGAACGCGGTGATCGACTCCCAGACCCACTACCGGCTGCGGGAGGCGCAGGACCGGAGCAGGGCTGAGGAGCTCAGCGGACGCGTCTCTTACTGGTCAGTGGGGGAAACCCTCATCCTCTTCGTGGTCAGCATCGGGCAGGTGATGCTGCTCAAGAGCTTCTTCACTGAGAAGAGACCCAGCAGCGGCGGAGCCGGCACCTAGAGCCGCTGTGCGTGCCCCTGAGCGGAGCAGGCCGTGCGACGGCTGCGGCCCCGGGCTCGCACTTTGCCTCCCATCTGTGCCGTGGGTGGCGGGGGTGGCAGCAGGGGGTGACGTGACACTGCCGAGCTGGGCGACAGTCCCCCGCTGTCACCTCCCACGTGCCATCGCCCGACCTGCCCCGTCCCCTCGCCTGTCCCCGTTCTCTGGCTGCACCGGGACCAGCACCAGCATGGACACCGGGGCTCCCTGGGGCCTGCGGCGTGGCCGAGGGGCTGGGGCAGCGCTGGCCCGCCTGGAACCCGCCCAGGGCCGTCAGCCCGAGGAGAGCTGCCCATGAACCGGGGCTCTGTGTCTGCACCCCAGCTGTCCTGTGGCGGGCAGGGTGCTCCCAGCAGCCGGGCCACGGCACCAGCAGCGTCCAGCAAGGGAAGGCTTTTTGCTGGGTGGTCCTCTGGCTCTACCAGCTCCTCCCCTCGCAGCATTTCTCGGGCTGGCAGCAGGTGGTGTGCTCGTTCCAGTGGTGGTATTTTCATACTCACAGAGTCCGTGCCTGAGACTCAGACCCCTCACACATTCCCCCCACCCTGCGGACACGTGCCAAGGAAGCCCCATCCCTGCCCCAGAAGCACAGAGGACCCACACAGCCTGGGATTGCAGCCCCTCGTTCCCTGGAGCCCCACAAGAGCCTGGGGTGACGCCCCTGTGCAAGACTGGAGTGACTGCTGTGCTGGCCCTCCAGCCCTCAAGCAGGTGTGAGATCATTGTTCAGAGCCAAAACAACTCCACTAGACTTTTCCTTTGCCACTTTCAAATAAATCCCTGCAAGCATGGCTGGCGCTGCCGTTACTGGGCACAGCTTCTGCTGCCCTCCTGCCTCGCCCCCCTGCCCGCGCCAGCTCAGCTTGCTGCTGGCACAGAGCAGCAGCCCTGTCTGTGCCCACTGCCAGGGGGTTGTGCTGGGGTTCCCACGGCACAGTGAGGACCAAGGGAGCCCTGTGTCCCTCCCCAGCACAGCGGGGACCCCCGGGCAGAGCCCAGCTCTGTGGTCCCTTCCCTGAGGCTGGGGGATGCCAGGGGAGTTCTCCTGGGCTGTTCCTCACTCTGTCCTGGTGCTGGGAGAGTGAGGCACCCCCAGCCCTCGCCCACCTCTCCGGGCCCCAGCAGCCGTGCTGGCTCTGCTGTCAGCGCTGGCCTTGGGGCAGTGCTGCAGGCAGGAGAACCGGCACCGTGTGCCTCCCGACAGCCTTGGGCAGCAGCCAGGAGCTCCTGTTTGGAGCAGAGCCAACATCAGCAGCACTCCGGGACTGCCACCAGCCCGGTGTTGGCTGGCACGGACCAGCCCTGTGCCCACTGGCACACAGAGCCCTGCAGAGATGAACGGGGATGGAGCAGCCAGCCCTGGCCAGGCTGTGGGTGGCCTCGAATCTGTCCCTTCCTGGGGACTCTTGAGCCACCCATGCTGGGGACAGGGGCAGCTGTGGGCCCAGTGGGTCAGGGGTCTGCCTCTGGGGACGCCAGCTCAGCTCCCAGCCAGGGGACACGGGAGGGACGAGAGGTGGCCATAGGACACTTTATTGCTGTTCAGGGCACAGAGAAGGGTGAGGGGACGGGGGCACCCCACCAGCCCCAAGCTCGTAGAGGCACTTCAGGGTGCGGGGAGAGACCAGCAGTGACTCCATCCCCACTGGAGCTGTGCTGAGCCGCTTATCCTGCTGCCAGAGCCCCTGCCCTGAGCGCCCCAGCGGTCGCGCTGGTCTCACAGGGAGCTGCTGTGACTGGAGGCGTCCCTGGCAGCCCCTCGGGACCTCCGCAGCTCCTGCAGCCCCCGCCCGGGCGGCAGGGAGGAGGCTGAGCAGCGGAAGGAGCCGGTGGCTGGGGAGGGGGGCTGGGCCAGGGGGCCGTGCCTGCATGGGCACCCCCAGCCCCCGCGCAGGGGGATGGTGAAGAGCCCGTACGTGATGGGGTCCAGGCACGCGTTGAAGAGGCCAAAGATGAAGAGAATGTGGGTGAGGGCCGGCGAGATCCTCTTCTCCATGGCGCGGGGACAGAACCAGTGCCAGAGCCCCAGCAGGTAGTAGGGGGTCCAGCAGAGGATGAAGGAGGAGACGATGACCAGGCTCATCCGCAGCATCCGCAGCCGGGCTCGGGGGATGTTGTTCCTGGAGCACCGCAGCG